GAGTATATATATATATATAATTTTATATGAGTAATATAGTTTGGAAAAATACTGTTCTTTTATAAAATAATTTCTTTCCAGTCAGTAGAATTTAATTCATTGCATTGTCTCTGAACTTCTAAATGAAAGTATGAAAACCAAATCATAGTACTTTTAGATAAATTAGCAAAGTTCGTTTGTGATTCAGAATCCCTATGCGATTAGTTTCTTCAGTAGTGGGAGTATATGAATTTGATTATACAATTTCCAAGTCACAGAAAAAGGTAAACTATCAATTGATCACATCCTTTTAGTCTAAGCCTGGATTTGGTATTAGAAATTTATACTTTAGGGAGTCTCAACCATTTTTAATGGACAGCCAAAAGACAAAACAACAAACTGCAATACTCATGTTACAGATAAGGAATAAGAATATTCTAGATCCCTTAGTATTTTAACCTTCAGATCTCAATAGTGTCATAACTGAATTTCTTAGCGCCTCTGCTGATTCACGTATAAGATTCACATTCAAGGCCTGGAATGGTGGCTGATGCCTGTAATCCCAGCACTTTGGGAGGCCAAGGCGGGCAGTGAGGTCAGGAGCTGGAGACCAGACTGGCCGACATGGTGAAACTCCATCTCTACTAAAAATACAAAAATTAGCCTGGCATGGTGGTGGGCACTACTCAGGAGGCTGAGGCAGGAGAATGATTTGAACCTGGGTAGCGGAGGTTTCAGTGAGCTGAGATCACACCACTGCACTCCAGCCTGAGTGACAGAGGGAGGCTCCATCTCAAAAATAAAAAAAGAAAATTCACATTCAAGCTCAGAAACAGGTTGGTTAGTAATAGCCATCATCATCATTAGGCCAAGAAGAAATATAGAGCTATTTAAAGAAGGGAGGGGAGCACTACACACTGGGGTCTGTTGGGGGGAAATAGGGGAGGGTCAGTGGGGGGGTGGGGAGTTGGGGAGAGACAGCAAGGGGAGAAATGCCAGATATAGGTGATGGGGAGGAAGGAGGCAAATCACACTGCCACATGTGTACCTATGCAACAATCTTGCATGTTCTTCACATGTACCCCAAAACCTAAAATGCAATAAAAAAATTAAAAAAAAAAAAACAAAACAAGCAACTGAGGTAGCTATTTCCTCTTTACCCAAAGGGCCTTCATAAAAGGAGATAAGCAAGGCCGGGCGCAGTGGCTCAAGCCTGTAATCCCAGCACTTTGGGAGGCCGAGGCGGGTGGATCACGAGGTCAAGAGATCGAGACCATCCTGGTCAACATGGTGAAACCCCGTCTCTACTAAAAATACAAAAAATTAGCTGGGCATGGTGGTGCGTGCCTGTAATCCAGCTACTCAGGAGGCTGAGGCAGGAGAATTGCCTGAACCCAGGAGACGGAGGTTGCGGTGAGCCAAGATCGCGCCATTGCACTCCAGCCTGGGTAACAAGAGCGAAACTCTGTCTCAAAAAAAAAAAAAAAAAAAAAAAAAAGGAGATAAGCATAAACTCTCAAGAAAAAAAATAGATATCTATCTTACACTTACAAATATCTAGGAATCATAAAAATTGGGAGGAGTAGGAAATGTGAAAACAGTATTAATTTTTCAGATTATCTTGGTTTTATGGTACATAATGTTAACTGTAAGAGACATAATAGTGATGAATGTCTCAGATACATCAAATTATAATGAGTAGAAAATATATGCAGAAGTACTTCAGTTGTAAAAGTGGACAGGGAATAACAAAATGAAATCTTAATTGAAAAAAAGCAAAGTAAATTTTGAAGAAAAAAAGAGAACAAGGCCATTATTACAAAGCTAAACTTTTAGACAGTGATTTATTTTTTATGCATTTTTCTTAAATTTAAGACATTTTTATTTCAACAGAAACATAATGGATTATAGAAAATTAGAAAATACAAATTAGTAAAAATAAGAGCACTGTATTCACACTACACAGAGACAACTACTATTTAGTACATTAGTTTTTTATTATTCCAGATCTGTGCATCTGAGGATATATCTGTAGATATCCATATAATTTTTTTTTTTAGATAAGAGTCTCACTGTGTCACCAGACTGGAGTGCAGTGGTGCTATCTAGGCTGACTGTAACCTCCGTCTCCCAGGTTCACGTGATTCTTCTGCCTCAGCCTCCTGAATAGCTGAGACTACAGGCAGGTGCCACCAGACCCAGCTAATTTTTATACCTTTAGTAGAGATGGGGTTTCACCATGTTGACCAGAACAGTCTCAATCTCCTGACCCCGTGATCCACCCACCTCAGCCTCCCAAAGTGCTGGGATTCCAGGCATGAGCCACCGTGCCCGGCCATATATGTTTTTTTTCACATTGAAATCCTGCTGTTTGGAAGCCAAATCTTTTCAGTTTATGGTCCATATCTTTCTGTTGCAGCAAATTATCTTCTCATGTACTATATAATTTATATTGTGATCTCTCAAGTTCTCCCAAAAAGACTCTATAGCTGGTTTGTCCAAACCAGGATCTAACCCAGGGTTGCGTTTCATATCTGTTTGCTGTCTCTATTAAGTCTTCTTAGGCTGCATCATCACCTTTTTCATGATACTCACATAATAAAAAAGAATCTGCAAGTTGTCTTACAGAATGTTCCCTCCTCCTGTTTTACTGGTTGCTTGTAGTTAATGATTTATGTTTCAAAAGTAAACTCTGTGGGAGTAGGAAGAATTTGGCCTCCTAAAATGTTTTTTAAAAATCACATACAATATTTAAGTGCAGAAACTGTAGTTTTTTATTTCTTCAAGTTGTTTGTACCTGTACCGTTCCTGTGGAGTGGTAAGAAAAGAAAAGAGTAAAGAAATTCAAGTAAACCAAAAATATTGCTATGAGAAAATTTTGAAAGTACATTCTAACTAAAAAAACAGAAATAACCATCTTGAGTTTTTGAATGTCTTATTTTGACTACCACTACTTGCCTGTATAGTAATTATGTGGCAGTTGATCTCCATGAAAATAAGATAAAAGAGAAGAGAGGTATTATTTTCTCCTGGAAGTTTGTTCTTAAAAAACAACAACAAGCAAACAGAGAAACAAACAAAAAACAAAATGGAGCATTTTCTTTTCATATACAGCGACATTGACGTTTACATAGATTTACATAAATACGTATACCGCCTATTATTTTGCAAAATAAATAAGCAGAGAAAGGTTAGAGTTTGGTCTAAATCTACAATTAAGAAAATGTTGGACACACATCTCAATTATACATAAATATTTTGCAATAAAAGATTGGACTGAAAAAACAGAAATACCACCCTTTCAATAACAGTGAGTTTTCTGGGATGTGAGGCATTTGAGCTAAAAATAATACCTTGAGTTGAAACATAAAATATTTCCTGAAATACATATTTAACTCGAATGCTCAAAAATATGGTCTTACACAAACAAAGACATATCATAATGATGAGTTTGTGTCCATACTAGTTTAATTTTCTCAGCAGAGATTTTTATATCTTTAGAAAATCCCCATTTGGAAAAATCTAGTTGAATTATAGCAACGTATATGCTATAGTACTTTGATCTGTCAGGAAACAACCTTTAGGATGAACTACCTTTTTAGATTTTTCTGCAGTTGTATATGACAATATAGCAGTCATAATCCTTAAACGACATGATTTCATTTATAGAAGAAGTTACACAGATTTTTTTTAATAGCTTTTTGAAATTTCAAGATTTTTTTGGATCATCCATCATCATTACTTCTGATCTATCTCTGAGCAAAAGTTTATTTAGCAAGAGAAAATACTTTTTAAGAAAACGTAGTGTAAGTCCTTTTAAAAATATAAGATATAAAATGTTTTATGTGTGAGCACACCTGAAATTCTTTTTTAGTTTTGATGTGCATTGTGACTTCATGGTCAAGTATTTTTTAGGTGACATCTGTGTGTTTCACTCAAGATTATTTGGTATGGCATACGTGGATATATTTCAGGATGCTGACCACAGAAACCTCAGAGATACTGCTCTACTCTAGAACAAGTTAAAAATCACAACTACTGCTGTTTAAGCAAGGAAAATTTTATCTAAGAATTATCAGTTTCAAACTCATATCCTTGCTAACAATAGATTACCAAAACATTTTAAGAATAAAGATTTCCGTTCAGTCTCTTCTTAATCCCTTTTTGGTACTGGTTCCCACTTTTTATGTAATGCTTCAAGTGCGAACCTCTTTTATTGAGTATATGATGCTTAGACACACTATTGATTCTAATACTCTTGTCATTATTCTGAAAACATGTCTGAACCAATTATTTTTCCTTCTCCTGACTTTTATCCTACCAAAGCTGCCCTTATCAGAGTTTCAAATAGCACTTTTGGCAATAACAACTCTCTTATTGGTATCCTTATACTCCAGAGGTGTGGGGCTTATAGCCTTCAGACCACTCATTTTTTGCATTAGAGCAGTGGTGCCTAAAGGAGGGTGATGCTGACCTCTGGCAGTCTGGAGACATTGTCATGACTAGAGGATGGGGGTGCTACTGACATCTCATGGATAGAAGCCAGGAATACTACTCAACATCCTAAAATGCACAGGACAATTCCCGACAACAAACTAGTATTCAGGCCCAAATGTCAATAGTGCCACTGTTGTGAAAGCCTGCTTCAGAGAAAATACTGAAAATAAAATTACGTACAGCAACAATACTATTACAACATATTCCTGGTTTTTTAAATGCACCAATACCAATATTTTGGCATATGTTTTTCACACTGCTAGCGATTTTAAGTTTTTTTTAAATCAAATGGCATGTTGTGACTGTTCATCCTCAAAGATTACTTGTACATGCATGTTTTATTATTTGTAAAACACACATAGAAAAAAAAACTATAGTCTTTACTGTGAGAAACATTTTGGTAGAGCAAAACCTGATGCACTTTTATATTTGCACTTCATCTAAATGATGCGATTTGCTTTTTCCTCTTCCTCTGTCTTCTCTCTACTCATACTTTTTTTTTTCTCTCTCATTCTGGTTGTCAGAACTCCCCTGATTGCAGCTGGAGTAATTGGTGGGCTCTTCATTCTGGTCATTGTGGGTCTGACATTTGCTGTTTATGTTAGAAGGAAGAGCATCAAAAAGAAAAGAGCCTTGAGAAGATTCTTGGAAACAGAGGTGAGGTATTTATTTCTCTCCCTCATGTGTTTAGGGATTTTCATTAGATTTAGGTTTAGATGATGTTCAGTTATTTAATCCAAGTAAAATTCTGTTCTATTTTCTATTAAGTTATTTTATTTTATTAAACAAAGCTTGTAAAAAAAGCAGATTATATCATAAAAATAGTCAAGACTTCAAGAGGGTAGATGGGAGTGGTCAAGAAAATTATTGTATTGGGGAAAGTATCTATATTTTGTGTGTATGGTTGGGGGGATCCCATTAGCAAGCTCTATCAGAGGATATTGAGATATCCTCTGATATCTCAATAGAAGCAGAACTAGAAAATACCTGCATCGAAAATATCTCAGTGGCAGATCTAGAAAAATGTTAAAAAGAAAGAGAACCTCTTTCAAAACAAAACTAAACAGACAAGGAATGCATGTTTTCATTAGTATCATCCAGTTGGTAGTCAGTGATCTCATTATACCAGCAGTGAAAGACTAAGCTTATAGGATAAAGCTTAGTGTTGTAATCACATAGACATTACAGCACAATTCATGGGATGCATTTCACATTATGCATGGTGGTTATTGTGAGCATGTAAATTACTCATAAATGATTATAATGTCTTTTATATTGCTACCCTGAGTTCTCTAGCATAAAAGCAGATTGTTTTCATGGTACTGGTTACAGGGAAAAAGCAATCACAGAAGATTATGCATTACCAGACCCTTCTCAACTTCCATCCTACCTTTCTCCTGATACACACGTTTGTGTCTAAACAATTCAGAGCAATTCTGTTCTGAGACTAATCTTACCCAAGATTTGTTGTTTTTCTCATTGTCAGTATGACAATTTAACTTTTCCTTTGAACACTGACAGTAATGGGATGAATGGGAATATTCATTCATTCATTCATACATTTTGCATACTGATAATGAATTAAATTTTAGCTCTTTTTACCCAGAAATCAAATCTAGATAGAAATATCCTGTGAAAGTTTCTGGGAGCTACCTTACAGCTGCATCTAGGAAAACACTTTCTAAGGATTAGAGTTATCTGAAATTGGAATGAGCTGTCTCATTAATAGACATGTTCAAGCAAAATAAAGGTAGCCAGTTACATACATGGGAAAACCTAATAGTATTCCTACTTTAGTTGGAAGCTTATAGAAGAGCAATTTGATTACTTTTAATCTTGCACATGTGAATAAAAGTTTGGACACAACACATGTGCTTTGTGCTATGCATGTTTGCAATTTAGCTAGGAGGCTGGAGGCAGAGAGAATTCTTCCTCATGGCCAGCTTGAGGCAGTTGGTGAGAGAATTCTGAGAAGTGAAGCATTATAAACTAGAGTTGGAAAGGACTTGAAAGCTTGGAATAGGAGTATACATTTAGGTGACCGCATAATGGAAGAGAAAATCCTGTAACCACATACAGGGATGGATCATTGCTATGAAAAGAGCTGTGTTGCTTTATCTTGGTTTGGTGTTTTAATGCACTGCTTTACAGGAATGTGCTTCAAGCTGTCATTTTCTTACTAAATAAACAGACACTTATTGGTTGTATAAGCAGGTTCTTTTTTTATAGAAAATTATTATTTGACTAAATTATTTTACATTTGGAGATTAGATAACTGTAGAATCCCTATCTTTCTCTTAGTAAAAGAAAATACCTATGATTTTCTATCATCTAAATAAAGGGGGAATTTTTAAGAGGGTCAGTGTAAATCCTTAAATACTGAAGCTAGAAATCTCCCTCAGAAGTGAACATTTGTTGAATCGATATAGTGTTTGCATACACTTAATGTTGGTACACATTCCTCAAATCATTTAGCTCCAGATTGTCTTTTTTTATGTTACATGGATAAAACTAGAAAACATATTTTTTCAACACAAACTGACTGAAATGCACTGTAAGCTTGATGCTTTGGTAGGTGATGTGATTAAAAAATGTATTAATGTGACATGATCCCATCCCTTGAAAAGTAACAGATATGGTGCTTACAATATTCCAGGCAATGTTCTAGAATTTCCCACATATGTTATCTAATTTCATCCTTTCTCAAGTTTCTAAGGTAATTATTGCTATACCTATTTCACAGACGAGAAATAAAGGTCTAGGAAGGGCAAATTGCTTCCTGTGAGTGGCAGCACTGTCATATAAATCTCCAAGTTTGAACCCTTCAAACCTTCTTTCTACCCTATCACTGCTGGCTCATAAAATGACACCATCCTTTTTTTAAAGGCATAATTTTTAAATTCCTAGAAACATGTGTCTGTAAAATACATTAAATGATATGCAAGAAAATTAAGGAAGACTAAAAAACTCAAGTAGAACTGTGTATATTTTAAGTATATCTCCTCCAAAATGCTGAAGCCTCCTCCCAGTATTGTGTGCGATTTCATGTGACTTTTGTATATGATTTTTTAAATGATCATAAAAGTTATTTATTATACATATAGCATGTGTATCAAAGTCTACCCAGTAATTCCTGTATGATTGAGTTGCTTTCAGATGAAGGGGACTCAGTTGAGCAATCATTTTGAAATTTAACAAATTAGTGATTCTTCCTGAGATGTTTTAAAATGTGACTTGAATACAGTTCTATGTTATCAAATTTATATTTAGATAACATAAATTTGAAAATGCAATTGAAGAAGATGAGTTGTCAAACTCATCACCTAAGAAGAGTTTGAAGATAACCTAAGTTTATTGGTAATTTTTTAAATTACATTCTTCCTAAAATTCTTGCTATAGCTACACTTACCTTCACTCAAGAATCTTCTACTAATTAAGTAGGCCATGATTTTCGCAGAAGCATGGTAATTCATACCCAAGCTGCAAGACCACGGTGCGCTTAGCTTTGTAAATAGATATTTTGAAATACTGTTGGACGTTCAAGCCTTTGATTATTATGCCAGGAAAAAAGAGACTATTTGTAAAGTTTAGTTCCTTAATTTAACTTTTAAAGGAAAAAGAAACTCCTATTTCTCATACTTGTCCTTTTCCTCATACATAGATAAAAAGCTAAAATTTTCGACATAGGATACAGGTTTTTTGGTACCCAGAGTCTCTCTTAGATGTACATTTTTTTTCTCACATATGCCAGTGATTGACATGCATGCATATACTTTCACCCTTCTCATTTATTCTCCTAACTGAATCACATCACAATGATGACATCTAAAACTACCAGCCTAATTTTACTTCTCTGTCCACACCCAGCCTACCCCATGGTTAGGTAGGTGCCCCACCCAACTCTCACCCTTCTGACCTGACCCACTCCCTGTTGTATTCTGCTATATTTCTTCCTTCTTCTCCTTCTTTTTTTCCCTCTCCTTTGACATATTTGTTCTGGCTTCCCAGGTATATTTTAAGCTCTAAGAAGGCAGCATTTCCTTTTTTTAATGCATGAAATCCCCTAGCCTGGTATGCCTCATGGTAGGTGCACATTTGTTGTTGGCGTTTGCCCTGGCAAAGAGCAGGAGAAGAGAAAAGACATGGTCTGAAAGAATGGATGAATGTGTCAGTGAATAGTGAGTGGTGCATATTACAAAGGTATTGGTTGTCAAGGAAAACTCTTATTTGTGTGTTTTTGCTTTGTGAGAAACAGAACCAGAGTGAGAGAGAAGGATTGACTATTGGATTGAAAGTATAACCTTCTTCTTTCTGCTTTGCAGTTGGTAGAACCTTTAACTCCCAGTGGCACAGCACCCAATCAAGCACAACTTCGTATTTTGAAAGAAACTGAGCTGAAGAGGGTAAAAGTCCTTGGCTCAGGTGCTTTTGGAACAGTGTATAAAGTAAGTAAAAAACAACACAGTCCGTCAGTTATTTTAGGTTTTGTTTTAGATGTTTAAAAAATAATAGCCAACAGAGTTATTACTTTAGACAAACTAATTTTCTTATAATATTCAGAAAGAAAGACTTTTATAATATTAAGGAGTTGCTGCACAAATGAATTCATTAATTTTTATTGAATGAGCTGGGATGGATACAGAGAAAAGCAAGAAACACTGATACAAAGCCAAGTATAGTTTATTTATCAATGCCTTTCTGAGCTCCTTGTATCATATTCCTTCTAGCAAATTTCTTTTCTTATCCAACTAGCAAGCCCCAACCCATTTTCCATTTCTCCTACACAGTGCTCCATGAACCCCACACATGCCTTGGTAATATATCATAATCCTTTGTCTTTTTTCCTTCTGCTTTTTTATCCGAGCCTCCCCATCAGGACCCTATTGGCTGCTGTTTACAGAATACGTTCAAATATCCTGATGTCTTAATAAGTTGGAAATAGTTTGTAAATCATTTTTTGCCTGCCTAGTTACATTTATAATTTTGTAAATAATGTCCATAGTTTTGATATATTTTTCATTATAAGCAAACCAAAAATTGTGACATTATATGTGAAATTCAGGTCAGACAGGAGGAAAAGGTGACATCGCATGTTTTCAACAAGAGCTATTTCTGGAAAGGAAAAGCTCAAATGATGGCATTTGTATGTTTACTTATTTGCCTTAATTACAAGACCAATTCAGAGGCCAGGCCCAAGATTAATTGTGGTGAAATTTATTTTAATGGTAAATAACAAGATTAAGAAACTCTTCTGAGCTAATGCTAAATCCTTCTTGTAATATCCACTACTTTGGCATTTAATATATTTCTTTTTCTTTCTTTTTTTTTTTTTTTTTTCTGAGACAGAGTCTTGCTCTGTTGCCCAGGCTAAAGTGCAATAGTGTGATATCTACTCACTGCAACCTCTGTCTCCCAGGTTCCAGCAATTCTCCTGCTTTAGCCTCCCAAGTAACTGGGATTACAGGTGCATACCACCACGCCTGGCTAATTTTTGTATTTTTAGTAGATACAGGGTTTTACCATGTTGGCCAGGCTGGCCTCGAACTCCTGACCTCAAATGATCCACCCCTTAGCCTCCCAAAGTGCTGGGATTATAGGCATGAGCCACTGTACCTGGAAAGAATGTATTTCTTAAATATATCTGATAAAATCAATTGGATCTTAGAAACTTTGCATTTCAAAATAATCATTTTTTTCTATTTAAAATAATGATTTATTTAACAGAAAATATTAATATTTAGAATATAAATCTTAATCTTTCTCTCTTAGTGCTCCAAAATAATCTAATCTTAAAATAAAACTTGTATTCTAAGGTCTAAATGTAGAAGTTTCCAGATCTTTTAGTATACATATTTTGTTAAATTAAATTTGGTATTAATTTGACATAAATTTGAGCACCTACTTTGCATAGGTGCCATTCTACTGTTCTAGGTTGACTTGATGCCTTTTCTAATCTTCAGATTTGATATATGTTCATAGAAACACAAATATTTCTGTTTCTCAACTTAGATTATGCTAGACAGAAACAGAATCAGACTGTATCATTTTATATCCTTAAAATGTGTCTAGTTACTACAATTTTATTCACATGTTTAATAATTTTAATCTGTATTCATTTCTACAATGAAATGATATCAACAAATTATGTGGATAATAAATATAGAGTCCTGAATTGCAGTCTTGATTGTTTAAATTGAAAAATTGACAGTAATGTTGTGAATTGGATCAATACTGACAATTATTCTGGATCACTTAGCTGTGCCATAAACCCCCATTCTAACGATTGGTTGCAGGATTTTTCCCCATCTGAATTATCTGGTAAATGCTTCAATTCTCCATATCCACAGATGTCACTGAAGGTTTCTGTGCTAAACCATAGGACAAGTCAGTAGAAAAATATTAGGGCTTCCTTCCTTTAAATGTTGACCTGTTACCAATTCTGCATGTGGCACAAATTTAAAGCAAGTAGGCAAATTTGTGTATTTATGAAGAAGAGGAATAGGGAGATAAAAAGATAGAGATAAATGGCAAATTTAAATGTATTATAACATACTTCCATTTTTAAGTTAACTCAATCTTAGATTGTTCCTAGAGTGTAATCACCCTACATTTTTAAAGATAATGTGGTCTGTAAATTAAATTTTATTTTAAACCTTGGATACTCTATAACTCAAGACTAAACACTATTTAATGTCCTCAGCAGATAAAAAATGTTACGAATTTAAGCATTTAATAATAAAGCTTTATTAACTTTTATTAAGAGCATTTATTTGTCTATTGTGCATGAGTGTTTTACCTTTATTGAAATTACTTGTAATAAAAGTTTATTGGAAATTTCATAAGTTACTTTTTAATTATCTGCCTGAAGTGTCTATGGTTGACACTAAGTTTTAATGAATGTATCAGTTGTTATGAAGACATACTATCTTATACTATAAAGGATTATTCTGGACTGTAGAAATGCAAACTGGCTTAAGCAATTACTTATTTTTTCTTCTAATTAGAAATATTCTCTGTTTAAGTATAAAGATTAGAACCAATATCATTGATATCAGATAGTAAAATTTTTAATTGGTTGGGTCCAGAAAATAGTGAAATAATGAAATAAAATAATGAAAATAAATGAATAATTTAAATAAACATTTATTTTAAGAAGAGACATACAATAGTTTACGTTGAATTTATATTCTTATTTTATTTATTTATTTATTTATTTTTGAGACAGGGTCTTACTATTTAGCCCAGGGTGGAGGGCAGTGGTGTAATCACAGTTCACTGTAGCCTCAACCTCCTGGGCTCAAACCATCCTCCCACCTGAGTAGCTGGGACCACAGGCATGTGCCAGCACACTCAGCTCATTTTTTAATTTTTAATTTTTGGTAGAGTTGGGATCTCACTATGTTGCCCATGATGGTCTTGAACTACCAGGCTCAAGAGACCCTCTTGCCTCGGTCTCCCAAAGTGATGGGATTGCAGGCATGAGCCACCATACCTGGCCTATATTATTTTAAAAGTACACTTTAGGGATACTTTAATATTAATGCCATGTCTTTATAAAGTAATCCCCTTTGTGGTTACTTTATTGAATAATGAATAGTAAGCCTGTTTTCCACCCTAGATAACATCAGTGAGAAAATGCAGCCTATGAGTATTGGCCTTTCTTTTCTTTTTTCTATTTCTTCTTTAATTTGTTTTTAATTTTATACAAGAAACTTGGCTTTTTATTTTGCATTTGACACATAAATTTTCCTATTCACTTTGCCTAATAAGAATGCAACCATAAATTCACTTTCTAAAAGTTAAAGTCTTCTATTTTCTTTATTATTGTTACTGTGTTTTAAAATAATCCTTGTGTTCAAGTCTCCTTATGATGCTGCAACTTTGAGTAACACAAATACATATGTTGTAGCATAAAAGTTCAAAGTGAAAAGTTTTTGAATTTTTTTTATTTATGACTATAACCAGCTGATGTTAAGAAAGACAGAAAGTAAAGATGTTCTGTTCAGGAATAACTATTTTTTTCGTACTTTCATTTTAATGTTAAAAATTTTATAAGAAATATTTTCTGATGTCAGGACTAAGGAGCTAAAATTGGACATTTTTGGTTTCTTGTCCTCATGACCTCATATTTGCATTTGTGTTCATTTGGGAAAATATATCTTTAAAATGTGTTCTTGTATTATCTGTACATCCTTGTGTGTCAAATCAAAATCATTGTCCTCATTCAAATGATATAATTCACTTTACCTAGAAATGCATTATTTAGCTTAACGTTGTATTTCACTCAAACCCTACTAACTTTATTCTTTCCCAAAGCATAGTTCCTATTCAGATAATATAATTGTATTTTAATAAGAAAAGAGAACTAGCAATAGCCACTACAAATATCTTATGCTTCTTCAGAGATAATAAAAGCCCTTCACATGCAAACATATACACATGCTTTAATAATGTAGACAAATTAATATGTGTTCAATATTCCCTAGCACTTGTCTTTGAAAACTAATCTTAAACATTTACTGTTGAAAATTAATTATTAAATCAATCTGAAGTTGAAGAACATGAGAATATGCTTTTTAAATTCTTTTTTTCTTTTTACTGAATAATTAGATAATATTCAACTTGAGAAGATTCTAACATTACTTAGCCCAATCTTATAAATTACAGATGATACAATTGAACTTCGAAAAGAACAACCATATCAAAAACTCAATATCATCCAAATCAGATATTCTATGCTATCCTATTTCCATGCTTTCTTCACAATTCAAAGTCTTTTTCATGCACACAGTAGAATTTCACAGTAGTGCAAACATCTTGAAAGCAGGATATACATACTGTATATTCTATATATATAATCATATATATGCAAGTCATCTTCAGATAATGAAAGCAGACAACAAAGTTTCAGAGTAACTTGTTACATATAACAGGTGCTAAATAAACATATGTTGATTTAGCTTATAATATCGAATGTTTTAATATTGAACTTCTAAATTATTTTGTAAGAACTTAATAGATTGAGATGTCATATTTAATGTGAATTTTTTTTCCCCAAGGGTATTTGGGTACCTGAAGGAGAAACTGTGAAGATTCCTGTGGCTATTAAGATTCTTAATGAGACAACTGGTCCCAAGGCAAATGTGGAGTTCATGGATGTAAGTACAGACACCCAAGCAATCACATTTTTCTCCATTATCAAATAGCCTAGATAATTAAGCAAAAAATGGCTCAGACAATTAAAGCCAAACAAAACAAAAACTCCACAACTTATAAATTTCTCCTATAAAATGTTATAATCTTATAATTAAAGATATTTCTAAGACCACTTCACATTGTATTATACTTTTTAGATCATCTCTGCTTCACTGCTATCTGCCTAGATAGTTCACTAGAACTTGGCTTTAGAGTTTGAAGGTGTTTACAATCCCTAAGGTGAATTATCTTCCATGTTGAATCAGATGTGTAACATTCTTATATTTTCTTGTTAAATATAACCAAATAGCCCTCAAGTGACAGCAATATATAATTTCAACTGAAAAAATATTTAATAACCAAAAATAACCAATTACATTTAATAATCAAATATCATGAGTATATTTCTTACAATTAGTTGCACTGAACAATATTAGAAAGGCTATGTGGTGGTGGTAATAAGTAACTAATATTTACAAAGTATTTACTAAGTGCTAAGCACTGTTACAAATAATTCACAAATAATAACTTACTTATTCCTCAAAATATGACAGACCAAGAACCTGGGGTTAACCCAAGATTACTCCAAGGCCACAAAGTTAGAACATGGCAGGTCTAGACTTTGAGTTCAGGAAGCCAAGCTTGAGTAGGGATCAGTAAACTTTTTTTTATAGGGTTGGATCGTAGTCAGGCTTTTACATGCTATGTGTTCTCTGTGGCAGCGGCTCAACTCTGCCCTTTTTGGTTGGAAAGCTGCCATAGATAATTAAAGCAAAACCAAACAAAGCAAAAACTAATGCAAATGGGTGTGACTGTGTTTCAGTAAAGCTTTTTATTTACATAAATAAGCTGCAGGCCAGATGTTGCCTAAGGGGAAGGCAGTGGCTAAAATTGATACTTTGAAAAATTAACCAAACTGCTTTATTTTATTATGGTTATGATGTATTTAGTTGAAAATATCAATCAAGATTAGTTTCTACAGCAAGTTAGTCTCTGTTAAATTTAAATTAAGAACCTACCTGAGTCAGGTAATTACCCCTTGACATTTACTTTTTTCAATTCAAATTCAGAAGAAAAGACTCTATGGGTTAAAATACTCCAACTATAGAATAATAACAGACCTCTAAGGAATAAAAAAGTACTTTATAAGGTCAATCAGAACTTTAAGATTTCCCACAGCAAAAATTGTGGTTTGAACTGTTCAGCAAATTTCAGAGAGTAGGATGGAATAAAATTATATATGTATCATGCTGTTATTTTTTCATATTCAATACAAGATATCTTGCCAGGGGTTCTATCAAAGACCATATATGTTCTTTCTCTGTCTTTTAGCATAATGTCTTGAGTAATAAGAATGATTTCTATTTCAAATGACCTTTATATGAAAGATGATGCAAGCATACGTACTTTGATTTTTTTAAAAAGACAGATTGCTATATACCTCTATCCAGTTTCTCTTGAAAGCTCTTTTACAAGTTTTACAGGAGCTGTCTTTGACCTTGAATAATTTATTCGTGTATAATGCTAAGTACTTTGTATAAAACTACTTTCAGCTTAACTTATTATTAGTTCTCATATAGTAGGCTGATAATCAGCTGATACAAACCAGCTTTTTGGATTGGTTGGTTTCATGCTTTATCAGTTGCTAAATATTTTAAATATCACCTTGTTCCATATCTACCAGCATTTATGTAACAGACAGTGAGGCCAGGAACTAAATAATGTTTCTTTCTTCAGTTCTCTAAAGATTCTGACACTCCACAGCTACATGTCTAGGATCACATGTTAAAATTTAAAACTGAAGACTTTTTCAGTGATGTACCAATTATTCGATTTGAGCTTGATCATAGCTATAAATTTGTGAATGGAATTTTTAAAGAAAGTAGAAGTTATAAAGGGAAATTACAATGAGTAGAAACAGTATTGTTTAATTTATAAAACTGGCAGAAAAAAAATCGTGTCCAGCCTAGGCTGCAGCCAAAGCTGAAATTCACAAGAATGTTAATAATCTCTGCTGGAGGCTTGAACAGCCATTTTTGTCATATTTCCATGGAAACAGATGGCAAAGGGGGGTTAAGAGGCTACAAAATAATCACACCTAGGAGAAAGCTCTAAAAACCTCATGATGACTTTGAATGATTATTTGAAAGCTCCTAACCCCATCCATTTTTTTTTCTTGCTCTGATGTATATTCCCATGGAAACGAGAGTAAAGACAGCAGCTTGAAGTCTTAGATTTCTGCTGAATTTTAGATGAGGTGCTGATTGAGCCATGAAAGGAGTCATTTTCCTAGATGGTTGATGGATTTGGTAACCAGCAGATTCAGAAGAATCTGTTCTTTTTAAAAGTTAAAAAAAAGTTAAGGTAAATATTTTGACTGTGCCTTTCCTACTTGTGGATAGATGCTAGAAGATTAACAGATTGATGAACAGCTATCAGCAGAGTTTTAATAAGTACCAGGCAGAAACATGTCCTATTATTTTGGTGCCTTCTTTCAAAACATTAGAAGGATAGCATCATGATGGTTAAAATGCAATTTAACTGGCAATATTAATGTTGAATTTAATATTTAATGTAGGCTACTATAATTTTAGCATAAACATAAGCCTATATTTCATACCTACATTTTTAGCTCAGCAGTTATGTGTTTAGATCATTATAAAAGTATTTGAATAATAAACCACGAAAAAAGAGATAAGTATAAGAAAAAATATTGTAATTTGAATCTAAGGATTAAGTTCAAATTCTAAATATTCCGGAGTTATTTGGTTGAAAGTAATATGTTTAACTTGTTTAGTTTAGGTTCTTTCAGATGCAGAAGCTATGCCTGAAATATGAATTTGAGTGAAAGTCATTTATTTTGGAGGTGAAGGGCTCACCACTTAGGGGAGTGTAGAAATAAGAGAGGGGAACTAATAAAGCTGGCGGCCATTGTGAGTGACTGGTGCTCCTTTTCACTGGGAAGACTCTGGCAGCCAGTGTAGGACATACACCTCAGAATTATCCCATTCAAGGGTTAAGGGAGCTGAGGATGTAGGACTGCTGGGAGAAAGTGACATTTCACCCCTACGTATCCTTCCAGCCCCGCATGGCAAGATAGGCGTCAGTGGAAAGAAAGCTGCCAAGCAAAGAAAGGTGGGTAGGGGTCATCTGGTATAACACTATGGTAGAGTGTTCCAAGGATAACTTTCAAACTAAATAAGATCTACTGCAATCATGTTTTGAAAACTAGTGTATGTGCATATTTGTATTTATAAGCTTGTGCTTTTATACCATTCTTCAGGAGAAAAATAAAGCTTCCAAAGACAATGGAAATTGCATACTCTTATTAATCGTTAGAACCCCTTTCCCCCCAACTCGTAACTTTATGCTTGGAATAGAATAGTCCAGATTCAATAACCACCACTGCTATATTCATCATACATAGCTGTGCTTCACTGGTTATTTAAGAAATAACACAAATGTAGCAACTTAATACTCAGAATTCATCACTGCATTAAAAACTCTATTGATATTCAAGGGTAAAGGAGAGGACTTTTATATTTTCTTAGAATTTTTAACATAGGAAAAAAATAAATAGGGGCAGTTTGTGTTCTATTAAATGCCACACTAAAAGCAAAAGAAGGAGAGTTTGGTCACCCAGGGCTGTTACTCTGCTCACCTGAATATGTCTAATGGGTTTATAATGACAATAATAACACACAGTTAGTGAATGGCCAGTACACTCTTCATTCCCATAAAGAAAGATCACATTGAATACATTAAGAAAATGACTCCAAAGGCCACCTTCATAAGAATACCTGCATTTATATGTGCTCCTAGTTCTTGTTTCAAATAAAACCATTTCACTGGGAAAATGAAGGCTTTTTTGGTTGTTTTTTGTTTTCTTTTTTTTTTTTAATCCATCAAACGGTGCAGATCACATACATAAGAAATGATGCTATTGAACAAGATTCTTGGAATTGTGCATTATCATCTCATAAAATCAGACAGACTCTTCACTTTTTCTGAGTTCCCGTCACTCTGTATTTTCCCCCAATATTTAAACCTAATATCAGTTGACTTTGTTTTTCTATGTTTTATCTAAATTATTTGTTTTTGTAAAAGAAATGAAAGAAATTCTGTGATTATTCTAAATTCTAGTGACTGATCAACAGTCATGGCTTTGTATTTGCATGATTTTTTTTGGCTTCTTTTCAACTTTTCCACACCAAATTCACCACTGTAAAATATTGCAAGGAAACATGTTTTAAATCACTAACTTTATTATGTAAATAGTAACATTTTTATTAAAAGAATTGCTTGTTTTTCTCGTCCTATACTATCGGAAATTTTATTTATCTTATGCAACTGCTCTTTTTCTATTTTCTGAAGAAATGTTCATGTGAATTGTCTTTACATGTTTCTCTTTTCTCTATTTCCTTCTGATATTTGGTATCTTGGGAATTATTTCAACTCTGATATCATATTAGTGGGGTAAAATAAATATAATTTATCAGTAGTTTACATTTTCTCTCAGAGTTTAACAGGCTTACAAAATTATTTGAAAAGATGTTTTGTTCTATAACATTTTCACATTATTAAATTTAATGTGTATGACTTCACATAGTAAGAGTAACTCTTAGCTATATCCTGTGTCATACTAATAGTAGATTTTTATTTGTAATTTTAGTTTACACAGTAGGTATATATATTTATGGGGTACATGAGATGTTTTGATACAGGCATGCAATGTGAAATAAGCACATCATGGAGAATGGGGTATCTATCCCTTGAAGCATTTACCCTTTGAGTTACAAACAATCCAATCACACTCATTAAGTTATTTTAAAATTTACAAGTAAGTTATTCTTGACTATAGTAACTCTGTTGTGCTATCAAATAGTAGGTCTTATTCATTCTATTTTTTTTTTGTACCCATTAACCATTCCCAGCCCCCCACTATCTTTCCTAGCCTCTGGTA